CGCGGACATTGCCCAGCTGTATTTCCAGGGCAGGATAGATGGTCTGCTGCTCGACCTGGTGCAGCAGGGCATCCTTTTGGCCCTGGGCGTGCAGGGCAAGACAGTGGATGCATTGGGTCTGGAACTGAATATGCCAGGTAACCAGTTGTTGGCCAAATTCTTCGATGCCATGAAACGGTGCAATCAGTGCTTCCGGTCGGTTCTGGAGGAGCATATCGAGGGCGGCATGCTACGGGAGGCGGATCTGTCGAAGGGCGAGGAACTCCAACCGCTGACCCTGTCCCTCGACCAGGAGCTGGATCAAACGGCCCAACAGCTGAGTAAGCAGCAGCGCAAGGAGCTGAAGCGACTGAAGGCCGAGCAGCTGGACGAGTTCCAAATCAAAGGCACCGAGGAGGATTGGTCCAAGGCGCTGGAAACAAACGGAACAGGCGGTGGCAGCGGGCTGCTCTCCGTCAAAAGGTAGGTGCGCTTAATGTATAATTAAAGTATATAAATACAATTATTTGATTCGTTTCTTTTTATCACTAGGTAAAAATAAATGTAATTTCCCAAACTTCCAAAGCCTATTTAATTCCTATTTCCCTCTCTTTCTTTTCAGTGGCGTCAAGCGACTGGATGGACCAATCGAGCAGCCCGGTGATCGCGACCTGGCAGCTCCGCTGTCCAAGAAGAAAAAGAAGAATAATCCGAAACAGAAACGCGGTCAGGGCAAGTCCCTGATCTAGAGTACCTTTTTTTTGGGGGGGGAAAGAATGTGGATTTTAATGCTACAGAAAAGTACATATTGTTGTAAGCTCCGTTAAAAATAAAGAAACCTAATAACTGAACTATATCTTGATATCGGCTGCAGCCTTGGCTGCGTTGGCAGCCGCCCTGCGTCGATCCTTGAGGTCCTGGTAGCTGACACCCGGCTCCTTGTGTGTATTTCGCTCGAAGCGCTTGACCTTGGCCTTCTTGCGGCTGACGAGCTTTGTCGTCGGCAGCATATTGTTGCGTTGCAGCGTGTGGAAGCGGTCCTTCAGCAGACTGCTCTCTGTCTTCACGTTGCGCAGATTTCCGGCGATTTCCTCGGGCAAATTTATATCCAGATCTGGCTCCTCGAACTTGTGCCGCCCCAGGCGTTTCGGCTCAAACTTGGCCTTCTCCGCGCGCTGCTTGCGGCGCTTCTTCAGATCATTCAGGTCTTCCTCCTCATCGTCCAGCTCGTGACGAATCGATTTGATACTGAATGAGGAAACCATAGGGATTATGTGGACTTCAAAGACATTATATATAACCTTACCGGATCAGATCAGCAGTCTGTTGCTTGAGCTTCCTCTTGAGCTCTGTTTGGCGCACAAGCTCCTTTTGCTTAAGCTCCTTGCGGCGGGCCTGCTTGCTCTTCTTTTTGTTTTCCACGGGGGCGTTGATTGTGTGATAGGGCTTTTCATCATCGTCCTCCTTTTTCTCCCCATTAATTTGGCCATCATCATCCTGCTCACCACCCTCCTCCTCATCCATGCCTTGGCTCATCTCTTGTAGGCGACGACGATCTCTCTCCTCGGGCGTCACCTTGGAGAACATGCTGGTGGTCACGCGCTTCAGGTGCTGTTCCTTCTTGATGATGCCCTCCTCGCGTTCCACCACGTGATCGATCAGCGCCTGGTGATCCTCGGGTGCGGGATTATAACTCATGCCCGGATGCGGGAGCTCAAACTTCCTAAAAGACAAGTTACAGTCAATAATTGACCAATTTAAGCCTTAGCAAGTAAGAATTGCAGAGTAGTCTGCTTACTTGGCCTTGGTAGTTTTGTGGTGTAGACTGGCGTGAGTTTTCACCACCTTCTTGCCAATATTTCCGGCTGTGTGCAGTGCCAGATCGCGACTGATCCAGCCCTTCTCGTCCTTGAGACCAGGTATCTCATCGCGGAAATCCACCTCCTGCCAGATGTCCTTCTCGACGGCAAGCTTCTTGTTCTTCTTGTCCGCCAGCCGTTGCTCCAGTTTTTCGTAGTACAGAGCCCGATCGCTGTTGGCCTGGCGATGGCGCGGCTTGGTGGGATTGCAGACCTCCAGCTCGATGTTGCGTCCGTTCTTCTTCTGGCGCACATGGTTGCTACAGGAATTTCAGGCTTAGTAAGACTCCCTGCCAGGGAATAGGCAGCGAACTTACCGCTTGGCAATGGGATCTTGGACTCTGGATGTGTTCTCCAGAGCCTGGTGGCTGCGCATGGGCTTCTTGGCATTCAACTTACGCTTTTGCTTTACACTCAGAACGGTGGCCTTGGTTTTTTGGAGGCTGGTGTCCACGACGAATAGATCCTCATCCTGTTTGTCCGCGAATGTTCTGTAATAGGCGCAACACCCAGCTAAAGAATTGCAAATTACCACATTGTTTACCCGCTAACTTACCCAACGCGCTCCTCCTGGCGCTGATCTTCGAGGAACTGCTCGACATCCTGGATGTCGGTTTTGCGCCACGCCGATTTGTTCTTCTTCGAAATGCGCTTCTTCTTCGTCGCTGGCTCTACGGCCGTCATTTCTCCGGATTATTTTGAAATTAAAAAATACAAATAACAAATGTTGAGCGGCACACGTGCAATCTGCAAAAGGCTTTCCAACACGCTTAGCGTCGCTTGCCAACACTGGCGCTCTGTGCTGTCAGCTGCTTAGAGATGGGAAACACATGAGTTGCAACTCTATACATAAAACTTTACAAATATGAATGAAATTCTTAATATATTATTAAAACATTCTTGTCAATGAAGCAGCAGGAAACAAGCTGAAAAGAGGCACTGGCTCTTAGCTAGCTAGAAACTGGCTTGCGCATCTCTAGCCCCACCTTACTTGCATTCAAACCAGCTGTGTGTGTGCTTGTGTGCGTGACCAACTGAGCTCTGTCGTGCATTGTAATCCATTTCAATTTTATAGCCACCCGCGAGCCGAATCAAAGTCAGTAGCATTTGTGATGAGCTGGCGGTCAAAAGGGCAAAACCATAAACCGATGCAAGCTCACGCACGTTTCTAAAGTGAAAATAGCCGGTAAGTGCGAGTAGTGAAGACGCCGCTGACGTGTACATACCAAACAAAAAGTGGTAAACAAACTTGTCCGCTTATTTTTATCTGTGTTTGAATACTCTTGCAAAGGGTATGATCACTTTGAAGTGGTTTTGTTTAGTTTACAAGAACGACATTGATTTTTTTTATATCTCAACGATCTACTGCCTATATCCTATAGAAAATAAATATATAAATCGAATAAATCTAAAACTATAACTGCAAGGGTATTCAAGCATTAGCCTGCTCAAGTCTTTATTCTTATTGTTATTTTCTTTTCTCAATTTTTGTTTTTCACCGATTACGCCGTGTTATCTCCGCGCTGAAATACATGTATGTAGTTTAATTCGTTACAAATAGCAGATCGCGATCTCTAGCAGCGACAGACACACTTTGGACACCACCACGATGAGCACCTTTCCCAGCTTTGCGGACATTTCGGCCAAGTTCTCGGAGGCCACGCTGGACGAGATCATCCGGAACGCGGGCGGCACCCGGCACACCTCCTACAAGTTTGGCCCAAGTGGCAAGAAGGGCGACGCCTATCTGAGCCGTGTCTTCCGCATCACCATCTACGGCGTCAAGGAGGCGGAACAGGGCCAGGACGAGGAGCAAATGGAGGTCGGTGTGATCGTGAAGGCCATGCCCGACAATCTGCACCGCCGGCGGCTCTTCCGTTCGGTGATATTCTTCCGCAACGAGATCAACTTCTACACCAAGGTGTTACCGGCCATCGAGGCCTTCCAGAAGTCCCGCCAGCCCGCCCCCGAGAAGCCCTTCGTGGAGTATCCCCGCTGCTTGGCCAGCCTGTGCGATGGCGCCAACGATTTCATCGCCCTGGAGGATGTGGGTCCCAGGGGCTACAGGGCTCCTGTGCGGTAAGTTGCCCCCTTCCATATGAAATCAACGTTCTATAAATACTATCTGTCAACTCTTGAAATAGATTACTGCAATGTCTATATTGAGTTATAAATTATAAAACCCAACCGCAATTACCTATCATCACCACTCTAACCACTTTACTCGCAGTCAGGACTACATTTCGCTGGAGGATGCCCTGCTGACGATGCGAACCCTGGGTCGATTCCATGGCGTGGCCCTGGCCTTCAATGCTCTGGATAGCAAGAATTTCGAAAAGGCGGCAGATTCGCTCGAGGAGACCTATTACGGCGAACACACCAGGGAGTGGTACACGGGCTTCCTCCTGCTGGCGGAGAATGTGGCCAGGGACGCCGTCAAGCATATCTATCCGGATAGCAAGTACGAGACTGTGGCCACAAACTTCCTGCAGCCGCCGCTGTTCGACGACCTGATCAACCTAGTGTCCACTCGCTCCAAGTTGAGTGTCTTCGGGCACGGCGACTGTTGGACGCCCAACTTCCTGACCAAGTACAACGAGCAGGGGCAATCGCAGGAGATCATCATCATTGATTTCCAGTTGGCCAGGTGCTCCTCCTTGGCCCTGGACCTGAGTTTCTTCATCTACTCCTGCACGAGCCAGGAGCTGAGGGAGCAGCACTACGATAAGCTGCTTCGCGCCTACCTGGAGAGCGCTCAGGAACTGATAAAGGATCTGGGTGGTAATGCAGAGGCTATCATTTCCTGGGAATCGCTGCAGGAGGAGCTGAAAAACTTTGGTCGCTTTGGCTGCGGCATGGGCATCGAATCGCTGCCGATGACGATGATGGAGGACGAGGAGGTGGCCGATCTGGACGGCATCCAGGAGAACGCGATTCTTACCGACATCTGGAACATCACACCCTTCAAGGAGCCCGCCAAGCAGCAGCGACTGGCCGATATCTTCAAGCACGCCATTGATCAGGGCTACATTAAGTAAGCTCATTGGTTTCTATGATTATATCGAATTCATATAGTATTAGGAATTTCGTAACTGTAACCCATGTATGTAGAAAACATACCTCCAGATAATTAAAAGCATATTTTAAACACATTGACTAAGCTTCACTTTCGAGCCGCTTGGCGGATTGGATTAAAAACAGATCTTTATGGGCAATAGCTGATGAATAAAGTAACATAGATTGAAAGGTATGTACACGGTGCTGGTGCTGGAGCTATAACTAAGTTCGGACCGACCGATTTAGAGGCACTGTCCTTCGTGGAGGACGCACCAGTGCGGAATCACTGCATCCGCGTGGATTCCTCGGGCCAGAAGTCGCTCCCGGTAGCGGTAAAACCTTCTCTGGGCCAGCAGGGCAGAGGACTTCGGATTAGACCACAGTCGCTCGGCAGCTGCTCCAGCTCGCGGCCAGATTCGGGATTCTGTAAGGGATTGTGGGTGATTAAGTGGGTTATTACCGTGCGGTTCCCTGCTGTTTACATACCCAATGAGTTCTGATCCACATACTCGCTCCACATGCACACCTCACCGCCGAGAACCTGATCTTTGCTGCGACCAACGGGCATGCCACTGGAGTACACGGTGCGCCAGTTGTAGTACGACGTGCTGCCCCAGAAACCGTGATCCAGGTACCAGGCATTCTTAGTGGACACAATCAGTCGGTATCCCCGCTGCAAGAGCTCCCGATTGAGGGCATCCTGCGACTCCACCCAGGTCTGGATTATGAACCGTTCCTTGGGCAAATAAGCTTCGATGTACCGGGGATTGGTGAGGTGGCTGGACCAGATGATCACCGACTTGGGCTCCTTAATGCCCGGATACATGCGCTCGTTAATCTCGTCCCAGGCATTGAGGTTCCGCTGATGGAACTGCGACCACAGCCGCAGGAAGCTCTGCTCGCTGAGATCGTAGCCGCGTGCTCTCATGCCATCCCGAATCTCGTCGGTGTTATTCCAGCAGGGAAGGAACACCTCGTCGCCGCCCATGTGCAGGGTCTCCTCCGGAGCGCCCACCTCGGCTACGTCCTCCAAGATCTCCTTGAGCACCGCGTACATGTGATCGTTCAGGGGATTCAGTTGGCCGCACGGTGGCTGCACACAGAATCTCCTCCAGGGCGATTGGTTCAGGCACACGGACATGTTGCCCAGTCCGGCGGCAGGACCCCATTGCCATCCATTGCCCGCGTGCGAGGGTCCATCGATCTCGATCAGTATCCGTATGCCCCGCAATCGGGCATACTTGACCAGGTTTAGTGCGTCCTGACGCGAGTACGTCTGCGATGAGGAGTACGCGCCGTAACGCTGCATCTCCGGCACCCTGGTGATCTCCAGCGGAAAACTGTGCGTGTCCACCACATGCCAGTGGAGCACATTCAGCTTACTGGCCGCCATCGCATCCAAAGTGCTGCGTATGAACTTGAGGGGCACAAAGTTTCGGGCCGTATCCAAAAGCACGCCGCGATGCGGAAAGGCCGGCCGATCAGTGATGTTGGCCGTGGTGACCATCAGCAGGCCATTGGACAGGCTGCCGGTGACCAGGTTGCTTAGCGTCTCGAAGGCGTGGCGTGCCCCGTACACCGTTGCCGCCTGGATGTCCACAAAGGTGGCCGTATCCGTGGTTCGCACCACCAGGGCGTAGCTCTCGTCGGTGGGCCAGTCCAGGACGAGGCTCTCGTTGGCCACCGTGGATCTGACCAGAATCTGCTTGCTGCTCTCGAGCGTGCAGTTCCGTGTGCACTCCTTCAGCAGATTTGAGACGAACAGCCGGTTCGTCTCCCTGAGGAACTGGGTGGCCGCCTCGCCGGGTGCCACCACATGGAAGCGCACCTTCCACGGATCGAACCGCACCCGCCTGTGCGATATGGTGCACTCCTTGCCCGTGGGCATGGGCCAGATGGCTCCGTACTTGCCGCAGGACAGCCGACAGTCCCGCTGGCTCTCGAAGATCTCCGGCGCGTACTGCAGTCCGGCCACCATCTCCCCCTCCGCGGTGCAGATGTCCGTCCGGCTGCACAGCCATTTCCTGCTAATCCAAAAGAGATTACGTTAATAATGCCAAGTAAGTACAATATCACAATAGCAAACATATGTATATATGATTATATTTTTAGATTGTACTTAGCATTTGCTTGAATTAGAACCCAAATTTCGTTACTGCTCTGCCGTAGAGCCTTTCATTTTATAGAGGAACATATTGAATTGAATTTTAATATACTGAGTACACTTTATCAGTACTCAGTATATTAAAGGGTTTCTTGATAAATTAAGTTATTTATTAAAAAAGGTATGAACACTTGAAATAATATCTTATTTTTCTATGATCAAATTTGGTTGGAATGAAAATTAACGAGATGCATGTTTTCTTCACAGTTTTTGCCCGGAAAAAAAGGGGGAAAAGTGAGACTTAATATTATTTATTTGCAAACTTAATTTCAATAATATTTGCAGCTGTATAGAAAGTAAGTAGTTTTTTTTTCTGTCGCTTTGCCAATAAGTTTCTTGTTGCACTTGTTCCCTTTTCGAAAAAAATGCACATGGAACGAATGCAAATTGACATGTAAATTCATTTGGCACGGATGAATTTTCACCTGTTTTTCTGTTTCTTTTAATTTCACTTGTTGCTTTTAGTTATTCGAAGAAATTGGATTTCCTGCACAGCAGAGACGCCAACCATTTGTTATCATTTGGCACAGTTTTTTCCAAATGCTCCCTTGTGGAATGGATTTCCTTAAATTTATTTACATTTTGTACATTTTTTAGAAAGCAACTAGTGGTCTAGTCTGCGGATCGCATGTAACATTTGCAATTTCATTGAAAATGTGTAACACTTTTAAAGTTTTTATGCGGTTTAGGGTATGTTCACTGTATTTTCTTAGAAAAAATGAGCATATTAAAAAAAAAAGAAAAAAAAATCCACTTGTTGCACTGGTTTCCTTTATTAAGCAGAGACACAAACCTGCTGGCGCTGCCGGCGTCGACGTCGCTGCCGGCATCATCTGCCCGCGTCAGCGCTGCGCCGACCGCAAAGCAAAGAAGCAGCGAAGCAGCAGCAGAGCAGAAGCACTGATAACGGTTGTAGCCGCTGAACCGCATCGTTCCTTTCTAACGGCTTCCTCAGCTGCGACGCCCGCTTTTATAATTTCTGTTCGCTATTTGGTGTATGGTGTATGGTGTGTGGTGTATGGTGTACTCGCTATATTCAATCTGCCGCCCACCCGCTCCGCTCGCCAAGCACAACAACACTGAAGAGCTGAAATCGAAAAAGCGACGCGGGGAAGTACGAATAAAATAAATCCGGCGAAATTTCACTTGCAGCGCAGCAGCGACAGCAACAACAGCAATAACAAGTCGAGCTTGTCGTCAATTGAATTGAAGAGAGTGCAAAAGCGAGAGCGAGAGAGAGAGAGAGCGGATTCGAAATACACGGTGGAAAAAAAGAGGTCCTTTCATCAGACTGTTTAACTCTTATAATTTAGTTCACAAATCCCAATAAAATGAGCATTTCTATACATATAGGATATTTATCCCACTAAAGATCCCCTGATCTTTTAAGGAAATATTAAATATTCCTTTTTCCTTTGTATTCGGTGAAGCAAGCCAATAATGAAATCAGGATGTTTCCAAGTGCATTTTGAAAGGGTCAAGGCAGCACCTATGTTGTCACGCTTTTTCTGCCTGTGTAGGGCTCGAAATCAGCATATCTCCCACTCTTTGACGTATACCCCACCCCCTGGAGAGTGGCCCACATACGGAAGTTGTGGGGGGTGAGTGATAAAATGAAAAATATACATGCACATACTTGCACACATATATGCGGTGCAAGAACCGCAACAACAACAAACATCGGGGGCTTGAAAACTGCCAGCGTGCAAAACACCACAAAGAATTGAACTAAATCAACCTAATTAATTATCCACAAATTTTGGCAATGCCGTTAAGAAGGCAAGTCAGAGTGTGCCAACAAATGAATTAAACATATGTATGTATTTACATATGTATCCCAATTGAACTTGCAACATTCGAGAGTGCAATAATACATCTTACAAAACTTATACAGATGAGTCTCCAAAGAATCCCTTGAAGTGAATAATGAAGCACCTTATTATAAACAAGGTAAAAAGTAAACCGATTTTCGGTTATCACAATTACTCAAATAATTGTTGTTTATAGTTATCCATATAAATAAATTACGTTTCTAAATATGTTCAGGAATGAGGAACGTCAGACATTTAGTGGATCCTCCAAAAATAGGCAAATGTGTTTTTATTATTTATCATTTGTTTATGAGTCGATGTGTTTTCGCATTAGTTTCATCTTGTATTATCTTTCGCTTGTACGCACAGTCACCGCCGTGACTGTAAGGCAATCAGAAGAAATATTTATTTCCAAAGTAATGTATGTATTCTCTTTGTTAAAATGGGTTATCAGGGTAGTAACTCTTGAAATATGAATCCATTTAAATACATTTATTTAACAACTCTAGACCTATTTAATTGGCGTAATACGTTAATTACAGCAGTAGCAAATTGATTTGTTACTCACATTACAATGTGAGTAAGTAGCCAAACTCTATTTAGTTGAAGTTAGGAAGTAACCATGAAGAGAACATTTTGCTTAAGCAACTAGCTCACCCAGCTTGTAAAGAAATACATTTATAAGACATTTGGCATATTTTACTTTTCCAATTTATTACAAAATCTAAAACATAATTTTAGCCGCGAAACGCGCTGTTGTTCCACCCTCATTATGATTTCGATAAAAGCATTGGAGTTGAAAACAAATGAAAAAAGGGAAATAAAAAACATTATTTGTGTGTGCGGACTGGGCATTGTTGATTATTATTTTATTGTATTCGGCATTCGCACATCTAGTTCTTATATGCCCATGCATCTCTCCCTCTCCCTCTCCCTCTCTCTCTCTCTCTTATTAATAATATGTATTATTATGTGGTCGCTGCGCTGGCTTGGATTCCAATTCCATTTCCATTTTAATTCCATGGGCGCCTTTTGTGCGCCTTCCAAGTGAATTTTGAATTATGCGATAGCGCCGGCTTCGCTCTTTATTCTTCTGCCCATTGTTGTTGCCCGTGAGCATGTGTGCGTTTCTGTGTTTAGAATGTAAAATTATAATAATTAAAAAGAGTACGTGCGAGTGCTGTAATCGGGCGATTGCGAGATGGATGTGGCAGCAGCGATAGTTGCCATGCCCCTTCCACCGTCCACCACGATCTCAAAACTCACCACGATTTTGTCAAATTGGACTTCAAATAATAGTTTTTCGAGTTTGGAATATAAAATTGAACTCACAAAATCATTCAATACGCATACGCACCTATTTGAAAAGTTTCAAGCACCCACCACTTTTAAAGATAGTATGAAAATAGGGGTTTCGAATAGTTTATGTTTGGTTTATGCGCCAGCTTTTGACCTAATTACAACCATGACCATAATATATTTATTATTATTACTTAATAGGGCACATCTCATACATATATGCACTTCTCACGCGCTCATCCCCAGGAATTCACACATGTGGGCGGACCAAATGAGTTTTGCCCAACTCGGACATCAGGTCCTGAATGGAAATCAGCAGGAGGAGGTGGAGCAGATGGGGTCGGATCTGGAGGGGAAGGGGTGTGGACATGGCTATGGCTATGGGAAGGCGGTAGAGTCATGATGAGGAGCAGCTGTAGCTGGTCCTGTCGCTCCAGGACAATGCAGATGCACAGATGTGGAGGCACTGGGAAAAATACGGTCAATAGAATTACGACTATCTATCATTCATAGTTCATAACAATTTTATTATTTACAGACATTCACTTTAGGAGCGCATATTTGTGGATTATATGCTGAAACTTGAAATGGAAAATAAGTATAGAACACCTTAATGCGGTTTTATTTCGAGTGTATTCGAACGGATGGAGGTTGGGTCCCATCGCCACTGATTATGATGTTGATTACATTGCGGCCGCTCTTCCTCCCCTTCCCTCACCTGGCACCGCACGCCCACTAGCCACGCCCCCGTTACACAGAGAGGAAATATTCTATGTTTATGGCATGGCTGAATTTAATTGTATTTAACTAAGTTTTAGCAAGAACCTGATTGTTTCACACCACGCTTTTAGCATTTTCGATTTTCAGAATTTCGATTAAGGATAACACGAATATCGTTTTTGTTTTCACTGCAGGACTTTGGAAAGGGTGCAAGTCCCGAGTCCGTCAGCCGCTAGGTTCTTCATTCCGGTTGCGTCAGTCAGCGCTGACTGCCCCCTCGGAAGCCACGCCCCTGGATGCTGCTGCTTAGAACAATGCAAGATTAAAAAACTGTAACAAATTACAAGCAAAACGGCAAATAAATTACACAAAAAACAGAGAGCTGGAGATGAAAAAAAAATATATAAAATGGAAGGAAAAAACGTAAATCAGCAGAGGAAATGCAAAACAAAAAGCAAGCGCAAAAAGTTGCAGCTACCAAAAGGGGGCGGCAAAGGGGGCGTGGCTGAGGTCAGCGGCCCTGGGGGTTGTCATATGATTCCCAAATGGGGGTGGGCCGGATAATCGGGGGTGGGCATGTGTGGAAATGCAAAGTTATAGGAAAAGTTAATTTGGGTTTTGTGTTTGCGGGGGGATCGCAGAAATGGCTTTATCCTGTGGCCGATTAAATCACAGTTTTCTGCAAAGAATGCAACCAAATGTGCACTTCAATTTTTGGTACAACCTAAAATACTTATTGTTTTCGTACATTTTTGAATTCTCTCCTAAGTGGTGCCCATGTAGGTCAGAAAAGCATACTTAGGGGCAATTAAAGTTTCACGCTAGCAAAATGAACTTAATACTTTAAGTTATTTATAGATTATATATTATATTATACATTATTATATTATATTATATATTACATTATATATTACATTATATATTGTATTATATATTCCATTATATGCTTGATTAATGACCTTAATTTTCTTCTTTTCATTTGTGAGACCCTTGCAGGAGCGGGATAACGGGTATTTAACAGTCGAGGCTATTGATTGCAGCGTATGAGTTAGAGATTGATACGACGATCTCCAGTGCTTTCTTCATTCATCACGAACGTAAGCGTGTTAGAATGCAGTGGCCACAAATAAATATAAAATGAAAGTTATTTATGGAACGCATTCATATATAGAATCTTATAAACATAGTTTCATGGGCTCAAACATCCATTAAAAGGGTTCCAAACTTAAATAAAATAGTTGATCGTGTTTGTAATGCCACTTGACTGCATTTCTCATTGTGTGCGATGGGCTCAGGTGGCTGACTAAACGCTTGGCCTTCGTAGGGGGTTGTGGGTGGAGGTGGGGAAAGTGGGCGGAAGGGGGCGGAACTGATCGGAAGTGGATAAGGTTTATTCGCCCGCTGTTGTTGTTGCTGCACAGTTGTTCTTGCTGTTGTTGCCCTGCGTCCGGGGACCGTCAAACAATGCAAATTGCATGAATGAATGCCATTTTGCATTTCATTTCAATGCCCACCACCCCCTGACCCCTTTGACCCCCGTGCGCACCCCTTTCCCGCTCTTTTTCCCCTCTGACGGCCCTGGGGAACCTGACTGCATTCTATTTTTCTTTTGATTAAATCAAATGCATAAAATGTTTTCAATTCAATCAGAAAAAAAACACGAAACCAACTACAAGAGTATAAGAACAACGAACACGAACTTTTCCCAACGTCATACTGTGCATACCCTTTCCTCGAAGTTAACAATTTGAAAAGTCATATTTTATATTAATGGAAATTTGATATTTACTTAGGTCTGGAGTGACTTTCACAAACTCTGATGATTTCTGTAAGTTTGAAAAGCTTTGTATTTGCTTGAAATTGTTCATTTGAAAAATGCCTCACAGTTTCTGTTTATATTTTAAGCTGAAGCTTGAATGAAAGTTGTATGTACAAATGTCGTCACCTATTTGCGACACCACTTGGAATATTGGAAATTAAACAGCAACCGGAAATCGCTAAAACTGATTTGTGTTAACCTATGTCTTATTGCCTTGTTTTAATTTGAATTGTTTTAGCGTGGATTTGGTTTGGAGTCAAGATAGAGACAAGGTTGCTTTAGTTTGCATTATGAAAAGGAAAGTGACTAAGTTTTTAATTTGTATTTGTACATTTAGAAAACGATATTATATAACTCAACTATCAGTTTATTCGGCATGGGATTAAATCAAAGATATCTGCAATTAAAGGGCAAAGTTTGAAGAAAAAGAGA